CAGAGCCAACATAACAGCATCATTGGTTTGTATCAATAAATTGGTTTGACTATTTAAAAATATTGATAAAATACAGAAAAATATTTTTGATTTGCGCGACTAAACCATTTGTATACCACTGCAAGAAAAAACACCTGAAATGGTATAATTGTGGTCAGTAGAAGAGTTCCAGATGCCCTTCTTGTAGGTAACTGAGCATCAGATTTAGCAAGAGGATGGGATGACCTGGACTGAAAACTCTTTTCAAGAAGTCATGGGGGTAAAGTCGCCACAACTAGTGATAATCAAACCCACATAAGTGGTATGAGAGGCTGTTCACACATTGCATCAAAAAGCAGGTGGAAAGAGTGAGCGGCATTGCTTCCTTCACCACTTTCAATGTGATTTACGTTCGTACTCCTTTGTCGTCTGTCATTGCTAGGTGACCATGCCAAACTAACAAAACATCGCTGCAGCTCTGATACAAGTTTATTTATGGAGAAGAGCAAGCACTGCAGTGTTTGGGTGTGATTAGTCTACTGAAATTGTGTATATTCCAATCAAAGTATGAAGCTGATCGGTCAGTTCTTGTCACGTGACTCGCAGTGCGCTTGCGGCATTCTGACAAGTTGAGATCGTTTCAACTATGTAAAAGCAGCGCGCCTTCAATGCACAAAACCAACTTGCACAAGCATAAGGTGTGAAATGTAAACTAAAAAAACAAAACTTTTATTTGATTTATTTATTTTCCTTCGGTTTAATTCCTTATCAGGGGTCGCCACAGTGGAATGAACCAGCCACTATTCCAGCATATGTTTTACGCAGAAGATGCCCTTCCAACTCCAACTCATTACTGGGAAATACCCATACACACTCACATTCTCAAACACGCATATACACTACGGCCAATTTAGCTTCCCAATTTACCTGTACTGCATGTCTTTGGACTGTGGGGGAAACTGGAGCACCCAGAGGAAACCCATGCGAGCACAGGGAGAACATGCAAACTGTACATAGAAATGCCAACTGACCCAGCCGGCACACAGACAAGCAACCTTCTTGCTGTGAGGTGATAGTGCCACATCCCTTTTTATTATATATATATATATATATATATATATATATATATATATATATATATATATATATATATTTATTTTTATTTTTTTATTTTTTTAATTAAACTTTTTTAATAAATTTCAGTGAAAATGCAAACAGAGTTAAGCAAAGCAAGCCGAACTGCTTAATACTTACAAACAGGAGAGGAGGAATTTTTAAGGTCTGCAGTAAGAAAACAGGAGTAACTGCCATCCATTTCTGTTGAAAGCACAGTGATGTTTCTAGCATGAAGACCTTCTATATATTGTCCATTTTTTTTCCAGAAGTAATTTTTTGGCTTGAATGTCAAATCACATGAAGTATCACAGGTCAGATTTACTGCCTGACCTCTGGTGTTTGTAGATGCAGGACTCATCTTTACCTGCAAATCTAAATGACAGTAAAATTAGTAAGAACATTATGAAAAATCAGCTAATAAGCCCAGAATCTAGACTGAGTTTTACCTGTTACTGTTAAATTAACAGCGACTGAGGCGAGACGTTTAACTCCATCCTTCATGATGAACATGAGCTGATATTCCCCAGAGTCTCGCTCACTCACATCTGATATTAAGAGTATTGAACAGTCATTGTTAAAGCTTTGCTTTACTCGTCCTGAGTAGTCAAAATCTAAATCTAAATATTCAGGTTCATTGTTTTTCCTCCAGTTTGGACTTTGTTTCCAGCTGAACCAGAACACAGATTTAAATGGGATGTTGTTGTAGGTGCACTTCAACTGCACACTGGTTTCCCTCAGAGCACAAATGTTTTTACAAGTCACAGAGAGTTCGTCTAATGTTAGAGAGCCTGATAAAACAAAGAAGAAACTGCAAATGTGGACTAATGAAAGACCTCATGACAAACCAAGTCACTAAAGAACAGTGAAGCAACACTCTGTCAGCTTTAAAATGTGTCAAATTCATCAACAAAATAATCTTACCTGAAATGTGTAGAAGCAGGATCAGCAAAAATAGCCTGAAATCCATGATTTGACTTTCAAACCTTTGAGTTGTAAAAAAAATAACACAAATAAGAGCACATTACTTTCACTCAAGTTACCTTTGCTATATTACATTATAACACAATTCTTAAATATATAAAGATATAAAGGCATGTATACTTACAAAATTTAAAATTTCTCCAGCTTGCAGAGCTGTAAGTGTTGTTACAAAGTGATGTCAATGTCTGAACATCCCAGCAATCAGATGATCTTATTTCCTTCCTAGTTCTGTCATTTTGGCCACTTGTTGAGCAACAGCGGTTAACTAACCGCCTGCATGAGTGGATCTGTTTTTAAAGATCTTATTACACTTTAAATATTCAAGCTTCAGGTTAGTTGATTTTCTTACTCATTTCTTGTACATTTTATGTTTTGGGGGACTCGCATCACAAACCTGAAACAGCCTAGTTAAACAAGGTGTACTTTGTCAATAGAATTATAATTCTTCATAGCACACTTTATAGGGATCTGTGAACATCATTTCCGTTATCGTTACAAAAACATTATTATTGTTTATGAATGTTAATATGCAAAAAAGCATTTTTGTAATATTATTTATTATATTATATTGCTTTTATAATTGTATTAAGATAAGTATTGAATAATTGATTCTTTACATCCTTTTCTCAATATACACTTCCTGTCTGCATTATTTGTCAAAAATTAAACGAACTGCAGTCTATTATTCCACTTTTATTATAGCTAAAACACTGCTCGGATACTGTATTTGCAACACAATCTCACAGCAATTCATAATTTTTTTAATATATTGGCTAATTCATATAAAACTGTGCGATTTTATTCATACAATTTAGTACAATTTGCTTATCCCCCTGTGACGGCAGGTTTAGGGTCGGCTTGGGTGCCACACCTAATTTTTTTAAATCATACATTTTCATACGGCTGAACTGATACGAATTCAAACAAATTAGCCTCTAAACTGACAAAACGTAAAATAGTTATGTTTCCTTGTGAAATCAGGCTGGTATTCCAAGATATTCATTAGTTTTTTAACCTTTAATAGTCAAGAATAGGTGTATGTATGAATGTTTCCCAGTGCTGTGTAGGAAAAGCATCCGCCACTTTACACCAAAGTAATTGCTGGTTCATGCTTCAGTGGTAACCCCTAATAAATCAGAGACTAAGCTGAAGGCTTATTAGTGAGTGGGGTAGGACGTTCTTACACCTCATCTTACACATCTTAGCCTAGTTTTTTGTATCATTATTACATGTTTTACTGTTGTAGACTGAAATCATTCAGCACACTAATGTGGAGCTGTAATAAGGTCAAGATCTGCCTGAAACTGACTGTCTGTTTATCTCAAATTAATAGTTTATCCTTACAGTGTTCATCAGCCAATCAAAATCAAGCATTTAACAGCCTTTGGTATAAGTTGTGTAACCCCAGGCTACAAAAGACCAAAATGCAGTTGTTTCCTCCTCAAAATATGTTGAGGAGCAGCATGACACATACGATTTACAGTATGCCACAATTTCCTTTGTGCTAACAAAAGTATCGCAATGTCTGTAGACTAGTGATGTTGCAATGTTTTTGATGATTTTAGATGCCATAGCCAACCTAATTTGCCCATTTTCCAAAAAATAGTAAAATAAAAATGTCACCAACAGAAACAGGCAGACTAAAGTGAAGGAGTGCAGGCACCTACAGCATACACACATCAATAGACCTTATTAGAAGTGCAGCATCAAGATTCTGATTTTGCTATTGTAAAATACATTATAACCACTTAAAAGTCTCCTACAATTACTAACCCAGCATCATAAACTTCAATGTATTGCTGCAGTGTTGACTTTTAAAACATTTGAACACATAGCTTGTTCAGAAAAAAAAAAAACATTTAGATGATAACAATAAAATGGTTTGTTTTTATCTTCTTGCTCAACATAAAATACACTGAGCTGTTTGTACGTGTAGTGTATGTGTGTTTAAACCCTTAATGGTTTTACAAGAAACATGATTTGCAATAAAAACAAATGTCTTTAATGATTTTCAGCCTTTTAATACCAAATTAGGGAAGGTGACAGAGCAAGGTCAGATGCATCCAGAATGTGGATAGAAAAAGCCATTATTATCACAAACACTGTTATCATTAATAGTTACAGTTTCTGTTTTTAATGTGAACAGGTCTTATATTGACACATTAGTGTGAGCTGAGAAAATGTTATATACTATTTCTCCTATGCTAATGAAGCACCACTGAGACATTACAAGCACAGGACGGGTGACTTCCTCACATCTCCAGTACACATCTCTGCCATTTGCTTACAGTAACCTGTGCTCTTAACCACACACAATTCATTTGCTTGTGATCTTCGATATAAATTTGTTGTGTTTGATGTCATTTGACAGTTTATGACTAAAGTGTTGTAGTAAGGCAATCAACAGAAACACTGATGTACTTCTATATATAATCTATTTTCTATTGTTGAGTCATAGTCTAGAGTATGTTAATGTTCTTCTCCCCTACTTTATCTCCTCAACTTTGCTTTAATGTTTAGCTGTTTTTAGGGTTGGTTTTCACTCATGTTTGACAATGCTTTGCTCAGGGTATACTAAAAAATGGTAACTGTTGATCTGGGATGTCAATTTATCAATGATGATAACAACTCTACTTGAGTCAAATGAATTATAATGAAGTCAGATAAATAATTGATTTAAACACGTCATTCATCATCTGCTTTCTGTCCTTAATTACTGGTTCAGAATAGCAATGTAAGCTTCAAGCCTTACAATTAGTTACACTTCTGAAAACTACAGAAACAAAATATGAAGGTGTGCACCAATACTAAAATAAAGCAACACAATTAAAAAAAAAAGGTTAAAACCTTAATCATGTGGATTCTTGCATGATCTTAGGATAAAAACAGCTCGTTATTTTTGGCAGGAAGAGGAATACATTAAAATACCTTTATTTTTCATGACATAAATAGACCTATAAGTCATTATTAAGTCATACTTTTTTCCTATAAGTCACTAAATCATGAACTAGTAGAATTAATAGATCAAAGCCTAAATGTGATGATGTCACAACTGAAAAAAACTCAATGATGTCTTTTTCCCAGCACAGATGGACAGAGAAGATCTAGGGACGAGGAACAACAGCTCCTGAGACAAACGATACAGATGTAGAAATATTTACAACAGTGTTTTTGTCATTATAATTAAATTTTATGGTACACTCTTTACATACTTTATTTCTTACCTTCACCTTTGTTTTCAGTTTTTGAGAAGAGATGTGCTCTGATGAAAAACCTGTTGAATCAGATTTCACATTCTTATAATCTAATGAATTTCTATGTTCACTGTATAAATGTGAATTTCACTGAATATTTAACTCACCACATCCACACCGCTGCTATTATGAGAAACTGAGGTACAAACACCAGCAGAGTGACTGTATAATGGCTGACTGCTGTGCTGTCCACTGCTTCTGTACAACACAAAGAAGACAATCATGACTATCAGAGAAAAAACCACAATGTACATGTGTGATAGAGATGTTTTACCTCCTACAGTACAGGAGAACTCTTGCAGCTCTTCTTTGCTGACTGAGTCCAGGTACAGCTTGTTGTCTTTAGTGAATCCATCTGTGACCTGTCGTCCCTTCTTGTACCATATGTAGGTGTGTTTGTTACTCAGAGTGCATTTAGTTGAACAGCTTAATATCACTTTTTCTCCCTCTGATACAGTGTGTGGTCTGCTTATCACCTGCGTATCTGAAAAACAAAACACAGTCAATAGTTTGTCATCACAAGTAATATAACACCATCATTGTACCTGTAACAGTAAGAATGACTCCAGGTGAACCAGAGTATGTTCCTCCTGTTTTGTCTGAGATGATCCTGAACTGATATTCTCCAGAGTCGCTGATCTTGAGCTCTTTGATTCTCAGTTTGTTCTCCACAAAGTCCACACGACCAGCAAACTGATGCTCCTCACGCAGATCCCTGAAGTCCCCAGCCCGACCATAATGCCAGAATGTTTTATCAATCATATAATCAGAGGGATGTGAGTATGTGCAGGAAAAGTCTACTGTTGAGTTTATCAAAGCACAGACTCTTCTAGAGGTGTAAGACACATCCCAGCAGCCACTCTTAGAAACACCTGAAAGAGTCACAGATTATTGCTATAGAAATCACAATAAGGTTTTTTCACACCAATATGATTGTTCATCATGAAAATTTTGCTGTAGATGGAAGCTTTCTTCCTTAATTAATTGAATTAGGAAGAAAACAATCCAGTCAATACGATTTGCTCAAAGCAATTACATAAAAAAACTGTAGTTTCTAAAAATTTCTAGTTTGTCTCACTCACCAGACTTTTAAACTTCGTCAGTTGAGAGCATGCACACAACAGGAAGACTTCACTTTAATTTTTACAAAACAAATGGTATGATTTCGGCACAATTTTCTTAACATTGGATGTCAAAATTCAATCCTTTCTTTGTGTAATGTGGCATGGTTCATGACAATCAATACCATGCCTGCAAATCCTCACGACACCATCGCAGAAAGTCTAGCATGTTTCATTTTTTTCTCGTTCTTTACGATGGGTGACTGTGCAAAAGGAGCACATCACTTCTTAGTTTTCTCAGCAGATGCTGCCATTAATGCGCTGGTCAGTTAATCAAAATGTAGACTGCATATTTACTTATGTAATTGAAATTTTTTTAATATGTCATTATTTTAAAGATTTCTGTCTTGAGCATCTGCTTTGTTCTTGCTGCTGCTGTGCTTTTATTTTCTGTCTCACTCGCGGCAAGTTAAGGCGAGGGACTGTTTAATAGGAAACCCATGGCAGGAAAATACTGGATCAGATATTAAAGAAAATACCCTAATATCAGAAAGGAATCATACGTTTAATCAGGTCCATTTAATAATGAATAACCTTAAAAATGTAGTTATTATTGTTATTATTATTATTATTATTATTATTATACTCACTTTTGGATTTACTATAGATGAAATTAATGTGAGAATGTGCGCTGGTCTATGCACACTTCATGCCTGGCGTACATTCATTTCTTGTGTGTGTTTGTTTTAATTCCATTGGCGACTCCCAGAGGCAACACTACATCTTTGAGCCGTGTAATGGCAACTGTATGGGACTGGTTAATTCGCATGTCTAGTAGGTATATAAGGTTACCATACCATGCAGTTGACCAGCCAAACATTAAAGCGCAATTTGCTGCGATCGCCGGTTTTCCCAATGTAATTGGAGTGATCAACTGTCTTTATCAGACGCTGGATTCGAACCGAGTTCATGTTTGAACGTGTCAAAACATGTTGCCTTGTGTTTTACGAGCTACGCCACTCATGCTGTTAAAGTCACTACCAAATTTTACACCTTTACATCGCAAGATTTCTTTTTTAATCCACTCAGTGCGATGTTCGGACCCAACTGTGTTAACTGCATCAGTTAAACTCTCCCACTCAATTTTTTTCTTTTGTTATTAATTCCGGAGGACAAACTTGCAAATAACACAGCTTTTCTCCGGTCTACCTCCGAAAGCTGCACCTCCAAATCACATTCTGTTAAAAGTTTCTCTTTTTGCTTGCTTTTGCCTTTGCTTTTTTGTTTTTCGTTTCATAAGGGGGAGGAGGCAGGGAGGGGTTTTGCGCTCATGCACGTGCGATCAGTTTCACGTTCATTCGGATGTACAAAGAGAATATGCGTGAGATTCGGCGTGCGCAGTGTTTCATACATCTGAATTTTTTACTGCATTCGCACAAAGCTGTAAATGTGCGTACTATCTTTTAGTATGATTTCAACGCAAGTCTTCATACATGAGGCCTCTGGCCTAGATCTCCTTTAAAGTGCTTAAAGGTGTTTTTCACTGCAGGGAATGGCTAGCAACTAGAGGCTTTTCTATTGCATTCCGTACCTGGTTAGTACCACCATGTATACACACTGCTGATCACCAATTGTACTGACAGAACCAACATACCAGCATCATTGGTTTGTATCACCAAATTGGTTTGACTATTTAAAAATATTTAAATAGTCAACAGCAGCCACTGCTAAATTTTTGCTTTGCACGACTAAACCATTTGTATACCACTGCAAAAAAAGACACCAGAAGTGGTATAATTGTGGTCAGTTCAAGAATTCCAGATGCCCTTCTTGTAACTGAGCAACAGATTCAGCAAGAGGATGGCATGACCTGGACTGAAAACGCTACAACTAGTTATAATCACACACACGCAAGCAATATAAGAGGTTGTTCACATATCGCGTCATAAAGCATGATTGTATTGCTTCCTTTAACACTTTCAATTTGATTTTCCTTTGGTCCTTTTTCGTCTGTCATTCCTTACTGACCATGACAAACTAACAAAACATTGCTGCAGCTCTGATACAAGTTTATTTATGGAGAAGAGTAACACTGCAGTGTTTGGGTGTGATTAGTCTACTGAAATGTGTATATTCAATACATAGGGCCCTATCATACACCCGGCGCAATGTGGCGCAAGGCGCAACGCAATTGTTATTTGCTAGTTTTAGCTCGGCACAAGAGTCGTTTTGACATTTTGCGCCACGCTGTTTAAATAGCAAATGCATTTGCGCTTATATGTGCGCCCATAGGCGTTCTGGTCTAAAAAAGCAGGTGTGTTTTGGCATGTTGCTATTTTGAGAAACTATAATAGTCTGTTGTTTAGACCAGAACAAAGCCGGTCTATTGTCCGGCACAGAGTGAGCCTCGCTTACACACTGTTTAATACACACAAGATGTAGAGCAATACGCAAATATCTTTGCATATAAAAAAGAATTAAAATATTAAGGATATATTTAGGATATAGTAAGGATATATAGGATATAAATATGAAGGATTAAAATATTACAAAACATTATTTTCTAGTCTACATCAATTTAAAAACCACTGTCTTCATACTTTCTTCATCTCGGGAGGCTTTTTCAATTCATTCATAACAATTTTCTTTTGTATAATGTTGTCATTATTAGCAGTGTTATTTTTATATCCATATTAATATTTGTTTTATTAAAAACAAGCTTGGATTTGCCCACCTGCACAGCATGTGTTTTAGGATATAATTCAGTTTTTTGAACACACTTCGATATTGTTGTTCATTTATTCGTTTGCTGTTAATTAGAACTGAATTTAGTAATAGTTTTGAAACAAATATTTGCGCTTAATAAAACAAAATTAATTATTTATAGGCTAATTGATGTCTGTGCGTACAATGTTTCCCTATCCACGAGAGCGAAAGTGAAAGTTAATCATTTATCTCTCATTGTCGCGCTGTAGATGCTCTGTTTAACTGTTTTCTTGCTAGTGAAATGCTCAGTTTTTCCACTTACACTTACTTTACGTCATGTAAATAGCAAATGTTAGATAGCGTGATGCAACAGGCTCTAAAAGGAAATGGGAGATGAGACTCTGATTGGTTTATTCTCAAAAAACACCTATAACTCATTAAGAAAATAAACTCAACCCTTTTAGACCATGCGCCATGGCACAAAGCGGATTTTTCTGTCCTTATATTAGCAAAAATGGATTTTGACTCGCCCTGAAAACGTTTGCGCCCTGCGCTTTGCGCATGGACTGTCAAAATAGAGCCCAAATTATGAAGCTGATCAGTCAATTCTAGTCATGTGACTCACTGTGCGCTTGTGGCATTCTAAAAAGTTGAGATTGTTCCAACTATGTAAAAGCAGCGCGCCTCCATTGCAAATAACGAACTTGCAAAAGCATAAGGTGTGATATGTAAATTAAAAAAATTAAACTTTTATTTTTATTCATTCATTTTCCTTCAACTAAGTTCCTTCTTTATCTGGGGTTGCCACAGTGTAATGAACCATCAACTATTGCAGCATATGTTTTACGCAGAAGATACCCTTTTAGCCGCAACCCACAACTGGGAAACACCCATACACACTCACATTATCAAACACACATATACTCTACGGCCAATTTACCTTACCCAATTTACCTGTACTGCATGTCTTTGGACTGTGGGGGAAACTGGAGCACACGGTGGAAATTCATGCAAACACAGGGGGAACATGTAAACTCCACATAGAAATGCCAACTGACCCAGCCAGCACTCAGACAGGCAACCTTCTTCCTGTGAGGCGATCAGTGAAAATGCAATCTAAGTCGAGCAAAAACCAAAGCAAAGCAAGCTGAACTGCTTTATACTTACACACAGGAGAAGAGGAATTTCTAAGGTCTACAGTAAGAAAACAGGAGTAACTGCCATCCATTTCTGTTGAAGGCACAGTGATGTTTCTAGCATGAAGACCTTCTATATATTGGTGATCTTTTTTCCAGAAGTAATTCTTTGGCTTGAATGTCAAATCACATGAAGTATCACAGGTCAGATTTACTGCCTGACCTCTGGTGTTTGTAGATGCAGGACTCATCTTTACCTGCAAATCTAAATGACAGTAAAATTAGTAAGAACATTATGAAAAATCAGCTAATAAGCCCAGAATCTAGACTGAGTTTTACCTGTTACTGTTAAATTAACAGCGACTGAGGCGAGACGTTTAACTCCATCCTTCATGATGAACATGAGCTGATATTCCCCAGAGTCTCGCTCACTCACATCTGATATTAAGAGTATTGAACAGTCATTGTTAAAGCTTTGCTTTACTCGTCCTGAGTAGTCAAAATCTAAATCTAAATATTCAGGTTCATTGTTTTTCCTCCAGTTTGGACTTTGTTTCCAGCTGAACCAGAACACAGATTTAAATGGGATGTTGTTGTAGGTGCACTTCAACTGCACACTGGTTTCCTTCAGAGCACAAATGTTTTTACAAGTCACAGAGAGTTCATCTAATGTTAGAGAGCCTGATAAAACAAAGAAGAAACTGCAAATGTGGACTAATGAAAGACCTCATGACAAACCAAGTCACTAAAAAACAGTGAAGCAACACTCTGTCAGCTTTAAGTAATCTTACCTGAAATGTGAAGAAGCAGGATCAGCAACAATGGTCTGAACTCCATGCTTTGACTTTTAAACCTTTGGCTTGTCAAGTAATAACACAAATAAGAGCCCATTAATTTCACTCAAGTTACCTTTAATTTATTACATTATAACACAATTTTTAAACATATAAAGACATGTA